AACGTACAAATATCAGTGGCATTTCTATATGCCAGCAGTGAACAATCTGAAAAAGAAAAAATTATAAAACTTACATGGGACCACAAAAGACCCAGAATAACCAAACCTACGCTAACCAGAAAAGCAAAACTAGAAGAGTCTTATTACCTACTTCAAATTATACTACAGAGCTATAAGGAACCAAAACAGCATGTTACTGGCATAAAAACAGATATATACACCGATTGGAACAGAATAGAGAACCCAGAAGCAAATCCACAAACCTACAGTGAACTCATTTTCAACAAAGGTGCCAAAAATAGACCCTAGGGAAAAGAAAATCTCTTCAATAAAGAGTTCTGGGAAAAGTGGAAATGTATACACAGAGGAATGAAGCTAGATCCCTATGTCTCACCATATGCAAAAATCAAATCAAAATGGATTAAAGACTTAAACCTAACACCTCAAACTGTGAAACTGCTACAACTTTGGGGAAGATCTCCAGGGTATTGGTGTGGGCAAAGATTTCTTGAGCAACACCCCACAAGTATAGGCAACCAAAGCAAAAATGAACAAACGGGATCACATCCAGTTAAAAAGCTTCTGCACAGCGAAGGATACATTTAATAAAGTGAAGAGACAACCCACAAAATAAAAGAAAATATTTGCAAACTACCCATGTGACAAGGGATTAATAACCAGAATATATAAGGAGCTCAAACAACTATATATGAAAAAAATCTAATAATCCAATTAAAAAAACATGAGCGAAAGATTTGAGAAGACATTTCTCAAAAGAAGACATACAAATGGCAAACAGGTATAAGAAAAGGTTCCCAACATCATTTGTCATCAGAGAAATGCAAATCAAAACTACAATGAGATACCCTCTCACCCCAATTTAAATTGCTTATATCCAAAGGACAGGCAATAATAAATACTGGTGAGGATGTAGAGAAAAGGGGAGCTTCATACATTGTTGGTGGAAATGTAAGTTAGTAAAACAACTATGGAGAACATTTTGGAGCATCCTCAAAAAACTAAAATTTGAGCTACCATTTGATCCAGCAATACCACTGCAGAGTATATACACAAAAGAAACAAAATCAGTATATCAAAGAGATACCTGCACTCCCTTGTTCATTGCAGCACTGTTTACGATAGCTAAGATTTGGAAGCAACGTAAGTTCCATCAACAGATGAATGGATAAAGAAAATGTGGTACACAATTGCCCCAAAACGAATAAAATACCTCTGAATACAGTGAACCAGGGAGGTGAAAGATCTCTACAATGAGAATTACAAACCACTGATTAAAAAAAAAAAAAATCTGAGACAATACGAATGGAAAAACATCCCATGCTTACGGGTAGAAAGAATCAGTATCATTAAAATGGTCACACTGCCCAAAGCAATTTACAGATCCGATGCTATTCCTATCAAACTACCAATGACATTCTTCACAAAACTAGGAAAAAAAGAACTATTTTAAAATTCATATAGAACCAAGAAAGAGCCCGAATAGCCAAGGCATTCCTAAGCAAAAAGAACAAAGCTGGAGGCATCATGTTACCCAACTTCATACTATATTACAGTACTACAGTAACCAAAAAAGCATGGTACTGATAAAAAAGCAGACACACAGACCAATGGAACAGAATACAGAACCCAGAAAAAAGGCCACACACCTACAACAACCTGATCTTCAACAAACCTGACAAAGACAAACAATGAGGAAAAGACTCCCTATTCAATAAATGGTGCTGGGATAACTGTCTAGACATATGCAGAAGACTGAAGCTGGACCCCTTCCTTACACCATATACTAAACTCAACTCAAGATGGATTAAAGACTTAAATGTGAAACTCAAAACTATTAAAATCCTGGAAGGCAACCTAGTCAATACCATCCTGGACAGAGGAACGGCCAAAGACTTCATGACAAAGACACCAAAGGCAATCGCGACAAAAGCAAAAATTGACAAATGGAATCTAATTAAATTTAAGAGCTTCTGAACAGCAAAAGAAACTATCAACAGAGTGAACAGACAGTCTACAGAATGGGAGAAAATATTTGCAAACTATGCATTTGATAAAGGTAATATCAAATATCTGTAAGGAACTTAAACAATTTTACAAGAAAAAAACAAACCACCCCATTAAAAAGTGAGCAAACACTTTTCAAAAGAAGACAGACATGTGACCAACAAGCATATGAAAAAAACTCAATATCACTGATCATTAGAGAAACAAAATCAAAACCACAAGGAGATACCATGTCACACCAGTCAGAATGGCTATTACTAGAAAGCAAAAATAAAAAAAAAAAAATAACATGCCGGCGAGGTTGCAGAGAAAAGGGAACACTTATACACTGCTGGGCAGAGTGTAAATTAGTTCAACCATTGTGTAAAACAGTTTGGTGATCTCTCAAAGAGCTAAAAGCAGAACTACTATTTGACCCAGCAATCCCAGTACTGGGTATATAACCAAAGGAATATAATTTGTTTTATTATAAAGACAAACGCGCATGTCTGTTCATTGCAGCGCTATTCACAATAGCGGACATAGAATCAACATAAATGCCCATCAATGACAGAACGGATAAAAAAAAGTGATATATATACACCATGGAATATTATGCAGCCATAAAAAATAATGAGATTGTGTCTTTTGTGGGAGGCTAGAGGCTATTATCCTCAGCAAACTAATGCAAGAACAGAAAACTAAATACCACATATTGTCACTTGTAAGTGGGAGCTAAATGATGAGAACTTATGAACGCAAAGAAGTAAACAACAGACACTGGGATATACTCAAGTGGGGAGGGTGGGAGGAGAAAGAGGAGCAAAAAAGATTATTATTGGTTACTGAGCTTAATTCCTGGGTGATGAAATAATCTGTATAACAAATCCCAGTCACATGAGTATACCTATGTAACAAAACTTCACAGGTATTCCTGAATCTAAAACAAACATTAAAAAAAGAAAATGTGGCACATACACATGATGGAGTCCTATCAGCCATAAAAAAGAATGAGACCCAGTCATTGGAAACAACATGTATGGAACTGGAGATCATTATGCTAAATGAAATAATCCAGGCACAGGAAGACACACATCACATGTTCTCACTTATTTGTGGAATCTTAAAATAAAAAAAAAAAAAAAATGAGCTAATGGACACAGAAAGTAGAAGGATGGTTACCAGAGGCTTGGAAGAATAGTGAGGGGCTGGAGGGAAGGTGGGGATGGTTAATGGGTACAAAAAAAATAGAGGGAATGAATAAGACCTACTATTTGATAGTACAATAGGGTGACTAGAGTCAATATAACTTAATTGTACATTTTAAAATAACTTAGAGTGTAATTAAATTGTTTGTAACTCAAAGAATAAATGTTTGAGTGGATGGATACCCCACTCTCCATGATGTGGTTATTTCACATTGCATGCCTATATCAAAATATCTCATGTACCCCATAAATACATACATCTACTATGTAACCACAAAAATTTTTAAAAATAACTTAAAAATAAACTTTTACCTAAAAAATGTATACACAAAAATATAAATAATTTATTCTCAGCACGTTTCAAAAATGTGCTATGGCAAGCTAGAATCAATCAAACAGAACAGGAATAGTAAGAACATTTACCAAGGATATGTAAATGGACATTTTATAATTTTTTAATTAAAGTAACATTTACAAGAATGCTAAACGAATATTACTTTAATATAACATTTATACAAATGTTTTATTAAGGTTTTTAATGCTGCCTCAAATGGAATAATATTTCTACATTTTGCCTTTAGTGTTTTTTCTTTTTATTCACAGTTAATATTTGTATGTCTTTTGTTCCTGTTCATTATTAATCTGATTAATCTTACCACTAAAATGAAGACAATTGAAAGGGATAATTCATTCAAGAACTCTATGCATATGCCTTTATCAGTACACTCTATACTGCCTACTTCCCACCTATCAGTTAGTTCCTGGTCTATTCTCTATTTACATTAGAAACATTCTCTCAACAAGTTTTCTCCACCCTTTTTTAGCTTCATTCCTTTGTTCATTCCCAAATAGAACTCTATCAATGCTAACATGACCGAAATATAGTCCTCCTGTTTGTAAAATCAAGAGGCTTCCCAAATAATGGAAAACTAAATTATTGAGCTTCACTGCCCCTTCTTTGAAGGAACATGAATCCATATGGGACAAAGGCTTTTACATATTTCCCACTAATGTAGAGAAAGACCTCAAAAAAAAAGGAATTCTCGGATTTTATTTACATTTATAAACTGAGAACCATCTTGGAAACAAAAAAAAAAAAATTAAAAAAAAAAAAAGAAACAAAACACCAAACTGAATACACAGCATATCTGTCATTCAATTCAATGAGACTAAACCATAAATAATGAAAGCTTTAGGCTGCTCTGCCTATGGAGTAGTCATTCCTTTGTTCCTTTACTTTCTTGATAAACTTACTTTCACTTGAAAACAAGGAAAAATAATAAAAGCTTTAGATTGTGGCAGAATAGGGATTATGTAAACATCATATGACTTCATAAAAAAGAACATGCTCCTAAAATAACAAAAACCCGTCAGTCCTCAAGGAACAACCCAAAAGAACTGCAAATGTAAGAATGTGGCTCTGTCAAATGTACGTATACCAATTAAACACTGGAGCAGTTACTACTCTCTTTAGAGGTCACAGTGTTCTATATGTGCCCATCATCAAAATGACTGCTCTTGACAGGATATAATCAGCATCAAGACTATATAATGTTCCTTTTCTTAATTGCAAGCTGAAAATCAATTAATTATTCTCTGCATAGAGTAGAAACGCTTCACAGAAATCTGATTTAGAGTTATACTCATCAATGCTTTCCAACCCAAAGCTATAATTCCTCTGGTGTCAAGAAATTTTTATTTAACTGAAGGAAGATGGTTATTTAGGGGTTCTAAACACAGGAAGGTGTGTTAAAGTAAACAACTGGCCTCATGTAATTTGCCAGGTTTTGATCTGCTAACACCTGTAATGACTACTGTATTCATTAAGAACATGATTACAGGGACATCTCAGGTTGACTGTGCTGTCCTGATTGGTGCTGCTGGTGTTGGTGAATTTGAAGCTGGTATCTCCAAGAATGGGCAGACCAGTAAGCATGCCCTCCTGGCTTACACACTGGGTGTGAAACAGCTAATTGTTGGTGTTAACAAAATGGATTCCACTGAGCCACCCTACAGCCAGAAGAGATACGAGGAAATCATTAAGGAAGTCAGCACTTACATTAAGAAAATTGGCTACAACCCCGACACAGTAGCATTTCTGCCAATTTCGGGTCGGAATGATGACAACATGCTGGAGCCAAGTGCTAATGTGCCTTGGTTCAAGGGATGGAAAGTCACCTGTACAGATGGCAATGCCAGTGGAACCACACTGCTTGAGGCTCTGGACTACATCCTACCACCATCTCGTCCAACTGACAAGCCCTTGTGCCTGCCTCTCCAGGATGTCCACAAAATTGGTGGTATTGGTACTGTGCCTGTTGGTCAAGTGAAGACTGGTGTTCTCAAACCCGGTATGGTAGTCACCTTTGTTGCAGTCGATATTACAACTGAAATAAAGTCTGTTGAAAGGCACCAGGAAGCTTTGAGTGAAATAAAGCTTTGAGTGAAATGAAATAAAGCTTTATTCCTGGGAACAATGTGGGCTTCCATGTCAAGAATGTGTCTGTCAAGGATGTTCGTTCTGGCAACATTGCTGGTGACAGCAAAAATGGCCCACCAATGAAAGCAGCCGGCATCACTGCTCAGGTGATTATCCTGAACCATCCAGGGCAAATCAGTGCTGGCTATGCCCCTGTACTGGATTGCCGCATGGCTCACATTGCATGCAAGTTTGCTGAGCTGAAGGAAAAGACTGATCACCTTTCTGGTAAGCAGCTGGAAGATGGCTCTAAATTCTTGAAGTCTGGTGATGCTGCCATCATTGATATGGTTCCTGGCAACCTCGTGTGTATTAAGAGCTTCTCAGACTATCCTCCTCTGGGTCACTTTGCTGTTTGTGATGTGAGACAGACAGTTGGTGTGGGTGTCATCAAAGCAGTGAACCAGAAGGCTGCTGGAGCTGGCAAGGTCACCAAGTCTGCCCAGAAAGCTCAGAAGGCTAAATGAATATTATCCCTAATACCTGACACCCCAGTCTTAATCAGTGGTGGAAGAAGAGTCTCTGAATTCTTTGTTTCAATTGGCCATTTAAGTTTAATAGTAAAAGACTGATTAATGATAACAATGCATTGTAAAACCTTCAGAAGGAAATAAAAATGTTTTGTGGACCACTTCATTTTTTTTGTTTTTTTTTTTTTGTGTGTGGGGGTTTTTTTTTTTTTTTTTTTTTGCATGTGGCAGTTTTAAGTTATTAGTTTTTAAAATCAATACTTTTTAATGGAAACAACTTGACCAAAATCTGTCACATAATTTTGAGACCCATTAAAAGAGAGTTTAATGAGAAAAAAAGTAAATAAAATTGAATATTAGAATAAGTAAATTTTATTTAGACAGGTAAATATGCCGAGAACATTTTATAATGCACTGCAAAGCCAAATCAATGTTATTTTAATTTTCCACATTTCTGAATTATATGTATTATTTATTCTTCCTTCCACTAATGTAGGTTAGCTGAGAGTTAACCATGAAACAATAAAACTCAACCTAGATAATCTGGAGGTGAAACAATAAGAATGTAGCGAGTTCTTAGTATTACCACTTCCCCTGATAAGGAGACTTGCACATAGTAGGTGCTTACTAAATATTTGTCGAAATGAATTGAATTGGAAAATATCACACTTATATGTTTAAAATTAATATGCTAATTGGCTTATAAAGTGAGACCTGAAGATTGTATGCTATGCATAAAATGTACTATGGAGTAATGTTTTTTCTATGAACAAATTCCCCTTTTGCATACCTCAGATAAAAACCTAGGGGGAACTCACAGATTTTTCTACAAAATAAATTTAGAAGTTTAACAGGTTACAGGATATTTTTCAAAGCAGCAAGCTTAACAGTAACATTAAACATTTAATTATACATGTTTGCAAATAATCTGGTTTTCTAAAGTTATTTACATTTAAACATAACATATTAAGGGTCAATGTACTCTGGATGAATAAAAACAAATCACTCATCTCTGTTTTAATTTTTGGCATAATACTGTACAGGACCACATGCAAAGCAAATGATGCTCTAAGACTGAGGATCTTACTAATTTAAAACTCTTAACACAAATCAAAGCAAGCTTTTTAACATAAATTTTTAAAAAATCCACAGTTGCACATTTTATTACAAAAACATGTGTTTCATGGATTGATTAACTTTATGAATTTAACAATTCATATCCCTTTTAACAAATATATAAAAAGTTACTAAGGTCAATTAACTATGGTCATTCTTAAGTGGAAATACATGTTTTACTTCATGCTCCTTTTTATGTGTACTTTATAAGCACACTTTCTGCTCTCATAAAACTAAAATGCCTTCTTTTGTATCTTAATAACTGACTGTTTTTAATTGGACTTTTCTGGTATAATTCTAAAGACTGAAAAAGGGTCTAATGTTTACTGATATAATGCATGAGGCAGATATGGGAAAGGAAATTTAAGGATTATTCAATAATAGATGTGGCAAAATTTTGTAATCTCAAATATTTCATAATTTAGTAAATATAATAGGAGGGATAATACAGCTTATACACCTTAAGCTAATGATAGCATAATGGTAGTCTGTACGGTCCATGAAAGAACAGACTGTATTGTTCATTTCATTCACAGCACTTAGCACCTAGACCACTGCCTGGCACCACAAAGAATACCCTTAATAAATGCTCGACAGACACACACACACACACACACACACACACACACACATGCACACACACACACACAGGCTATCATAACAAATCTAATCATGAGCGATCAAAATGGTTGTAAAGAAGTTTTTAAAATTTCATTTAAATGCCAATAATTAAGTAGATAGACATGAATTTTCCAAATGTCTATAGCTTAAAGACAATACAGCAAAAATCATACTCACTGGTTGCCACTGCACTCCCGCCTGGGTGACAGAGCCAGACCTTGTCCCAAACAAAAACAAAAACAAAAACAAAACACACACCAAAAAAAAATCCATACTCACTGGGATCTAACTTATGTCCTCTGGGGAGGTCAACTTGAGGTTTGGTAATTAAACTTCCTTGGATTGAACCCAAAAGGGGAACCATATCATAATGTATCCCATCTTATCATCAGTAGTGTTATATAGAGCAAGTCTTCGGTGTGTGCACATTTACTATCATTTTAGAATGATCAAGGCTTTGACTACATATATAATATTTTATGGATGATCATATTAAAGTTTTTACATAGTTCTGTGAATTTAGTGTGCTTTAATATGGCACTAAACTCAAGATTCTTAAAATAGATACTCTGTAATTGCACCTATATACCCTACTACCAAAGGCCATTAAGAGACAGTATAGTCTTATATGATAATTACATATGTTTTCAAAACGTTTTTACTTCAGTATAGCAGGATATCTCATAATGCACACATAACATACATAATGCATTAACAGTATGATAATAAAAATAAATTTTTCTAAATATTGTTTGTAAAAATAAATACATAATTAACATTGTTTGTGATGATAGTACTATATTTTTAGACAAACATGAAAGATAGACTTCTCACAAAATAACTGAAAGCTCAGAAACTAACATATTGCTATAAGCTATAATGGTTATAACTGTTAATCCAATACACCTTTTATACAAACCCATAAACACATGAGTGGAAAAATAGCACAGATGTTCATCTCTAATGCAATTTCCATTCAATTTCCTAAGTGCGGTCCCTGTGTGCAAACTAGCTTAACGTTATGTTTAGCTTGCAAATTCTTTTAATAAATAATGAATGCAATAAAACTAGATCAATGGCAAGCTGAGAAATCATAAAAAAAAAAAAAAGGCTTTTGTGTTCAGGCTGTTGCCCATTTCAAACTTTAATCCGGCGACAGATCAATAATACTTTTTTCTTTTAACCTATCACATAAATAGCAGATAGACTAAATGTAGCCCAAATGCTGTTACCAGCTAGTAGTTGCTAGCAACCTGATAAGATCACTGTACACAACTGCAATCGAATGCTATATACCTTTGTATACACACTACATTACGCACCATTGAACAGTCAATTTGTTTAAAAATAAAAAGATTACACAGCAATAAAAATACTGTGGTTTATTATTTTTTAAACTTTCCTGTACTATGTATTTTTCCAGTAGTATGATTACAAAGTTCCACCACAATTTGCTCTAATAAACAAAGTAATTGTAATGGGTCAAAATAGTACACAGGTACAAGTAGTTTCAACTTCAGGGTTCCTAGATTAAAGGAAATTTTACTCTTCAAAATTAATTACACCTGAAAGAATTAAGTTCTTTTTTAAATGGGTGGTGAGGAGGATAGTTCATGCAAATTTGAGTTTCCATTGGATTGGGTCTTAAGATTATTCAGTAAAAAAATCAAATCATTATTTTTAACATGTATTTGTATTTCTAGTCACAGACTAGAAAGAAGGGAGGAAAACCCTCTTGTTACCAACTCATTTTGAATACACATGTATTTACTGTTTGAAAACAGGATCACAAGTCAACTGCCACAAGGGTTAGTGCTCATATCAAGTAGTATAAATCTAAATCACCAATAATCATTTTATGGTCTTAGGCTCACTTTACTTATTAATTCTTGCCTTTTCATAATATTTGAGCATCTCTACTGGGTTTTCACCTAAGGGAAATATCAAGAAGTCATACTTGCTTTGAAGATGTACTTCATTTCAAATAGTCTAAGTTCATATACTAGATTTTGATACCTTTACATGTGTATTTGTGAAAGGTCTATGGCATGATTACAAATTGTTTTATATTGGATTTAAAATTTCAGGATTAGTATCTCTTCAATAACTGCATACTTTAACTATTTCTTACCTTTTGTTAAGGAACATCATAATCTGCAAAGAATTCTGATAAGAGGAATAAATGTGTGTATATGTGTATGCATAGTTGTATTCATTCAACAAATGTGAATTAAGTGTCGAATATACACACAATATTAGGCTTCATGAACCGTTTCAAAGAACATTACTGGAGTTAAAAATGACTCCTCAGAAATTGTTATTATAAACCCAAGGTTTTGTTTTATGTAACAAATTCAGTTCTCTTTTAAGGATACCATGATAGGTATTGATAAAGATACCTTTTCCTTAAAGTATATTCAATTTTGCATAAAACAACTTGTGTTACTTCTTAAACTCACAGTCTCAGTATAATATTTTCACCAATTTTAACATACAAATTTAGTGTTGAAGAAGGATGTGGTGAGATACCACCATGAAGGCATTTACACGTTTTAAAGAAAATTTGGAAAAAAGTTAACTATTGTCCCATAATTTACTGAAGTTCATTTTAAACTTCTCTTTAAACTCTACCATAGATAATAGTATATGTATCATAAACATCCATCATTAGCCTAACTGATTGAGATACAATTTTTCCTGAATTTGAGATCTAAACAGTATCATAGAACAGTGTTAACTGTTTTCCTATTCTAATAAAGGTAGGAATAAAATTATAATTAAGGAATACTGTATAGGCTTTCAAAGAGGATCTACTTCTAAAAACTGATTTTTAAAATACATATTCTTCAGAAAGCTGAAAAAGAGAAAATTTGAATCTCCTTTTTAAAATTTGCATTTTCAAATATCAGACTAACTGAAAAGTTATATCACCTACAATATTAAATTCAAAATATTTCACATCAATTGACAGCATTGTTTCTCTCTCAGAATTAAGGAAACAAAGCCATGGGTTAAATGAAATGAAGTATGGTGGTTATGATATTTAAGGGAGGTAAGTAATAAATTTCACTAGAGTGATATCAAAGTTCCTTTTGGTGACCATATGCTTTTCTATAGCTTAAGAAATTAAACTATAAAAGTAGCATTTATTGCTACTGGATAATTTATGATTTATAAATAATTACCCAGAATATAAATATATTAACATGAAATAAACTTTTCTGGGATTTTCAGCATTACAAAGTGAATAAATGATGAATACACAATGGACAGACTGTCTCCTTCCTACTAAAAAAAATACTAAATCCTGAAGGAGTTCTAAATCCCTTCATAAGAGTATATTGCAGCTGCATTAAGCCAACGAAAAGCTTATTA